CTTTTCCCACTGCACTGGAGCAGGGAAGGAGCGGCCATCTCCACCCTGAGGGCTCCTTGGAAAAGCCCAAATTCCCTTTTATTTAATGGATTTGCTCCACTCCAGGCCAATCCCAAGGATCCGGGAGCAGCTCCGATCCATCGGCACTTTCCTTCTTTTTATTCCCAATCCATGTTTTTGTACCCAAACCCTCGGATCCCAGGACTTTGGAGCCTTTGGATGCTCCAAGCCCTGCTCCCAGCAAACCCCAATTTCCAGGGAAAAGGAGCGATTCCAGGGAAGCTCATTCCTCCCAAGAAATCGGGATGAGGTTAAGAACTCCCCCCCGTGGCTGCTGTTCAATCAATTCAAATTAATTAAATCCCTTTAATTGGCTCCCAGCGCTTCCATCATTTGGGAAAGGGGGCGGGCACAATCCCAAAAATCCACATTCAGGGGGATTCGGGATTGAGCCAGGTGCTGCTTTTCCTGGAGAAAACCCGGAATCGTGCCCGAAAATCCCGCAGGATTCCCGGCTCTTCCCAACCCCCTAGGGATGAAAACGGGGAATTTCCCAAGCCAGGAATTCCTGCAGAACGGGGAATGGCACCTCAGCAGGATGGGACCTCAGCCTGAGCCAAATCCCGGGAAAACGACCCCAAAATCCCGGGAATAAAGGGAATTTTCCGCCTGGGGGGGTTGGAGGGGACCAATGCCATTTCCAGCCCCAACACTGGGAATTTTGGGAAGGCAAAAATTCCCATTCCTCGTGATCCCATCCTGGATCTTGCAGCAGCCCCTCTCCACGACCATTTCCCCAAGGTTTTCCCCCAAAATGAGTTTGTTGGGATCCACCACGGGAAAATGGGATTTCCCTGCTCTGGGGAAAGGGGAAAAATTGGGAAAACAAAGGAAAAATGGGGATTTATCCTAAATGGGATTTATCCACAGGGAACATCCTAAATGGGAATTTATCCCAATCCCAAGGGGATATCCTAAATACAGATCCTAAATATGGATTCATCCCAATGGAAGAGCCTAAATTTGGATCCTAAATATGAATTTATCCAGATGGGATATCCTAAAAGGGGATTTATCCCAATGGGATATCCTAAACAGGACTTATCCCAGTGGGATATTCTAAATGGGGATTTATCCCAGTCCCAACAGGATATCCTAAATATGGATTCATCCTGATGGGATATCCTAAATGGGGATTGATCCCAATCCCAATGGATTATCCTAAATGGGGATTTATCCTAAA